GCGCGACCCGCCCCCCCCCCCCCCCCCCCCCCGCCCCCAACTAGTTACCTTGTTTTAAAGATAATTTGGCAGGAACCAAAGAAATACCAAAACTACTTAAATGTAATGAACTACTTTTATTTTTCCCTTTATTTTTCAAGTGGGCTATGGAAAAAAGAGGGATGATTTCTCCTTTGTATCTAGTTACTTGGTGTGTGTGTGCTGGATCCTCCTGGCTGGCTCAATTCTGCATGCATGTACACACACACACACACACACACACACACACACACACCAGAGTAACTTTGGAGAAGAAAGAACACCTGAAAGTTTGGGTTCGGGGTGAATTTTTACAATGTGATGTTTTAGTCCTCATTAGACTGCACTGCACAGGTTATTTCTTTTTAACAAACTGGAATTTCCAATAGATTATATTCCTAGACACAGGACCTTGACATTTTACTCAGTCTTTAAATCAAGTTGGCATAATTTACATATGAATTTGCCCTGGAAATTCATTCCATACCTCTCATTCTGCTTTTTATATTACCTTTAAAAAGTTTTGGCTGTTCTGGGACTCACTTTGTAGACCAGGCTGGCCTAGCCTTGAACTCACAGAGATCCCACTGCCTCTGCCTCCCTAGTGCTGGGATTTAAGGCATGTGCCACCACATCTTTTTGATACCTAGTTTTGAACTACAAGTTAGATCTGTATTTTCTTCTGTTCTTCATAATTGACCATTGTGAATATAACAACTGGATGTTTCTTTAAATGATGGCTCGTGTATGTTTCATACGTGTAAGGAAGTAGTTAAAAACTTCTCCAGCAAACTTTCACCTTGTGTCTTGTCTGAATACTCATCGGGTATCACAGCCTTGTTCAGTGTCTTCTTCCTAAGAGCACTTTTGTACTGTAACTTATTTTTTATTATGCCTGAAGCATTGTGTAAATAAACCCTTAGTAATAAAGAATTATGAATTTCATTATTTGCTTACATACTAATCTGTAAAGCTCACATAGCAGTTAATAACAAACAAGGGGGTATGTCTTATCTTTGCTCCAGTTTTCTTAGTAGACAGTAAAATCAGTAATGGATGGAATTAATTTCTAATATATATATGATTTCTATAGGTTTCTCACGTTGCTTTGGAGAGCTTGGAAATGGGCAAAATGATACCACACATTTGGAAGATTCATTTCTTGAATCTAACCCTAACCCTTACCAGGGTCTTACTATGAAGCACAGTTAATCTTGGTCCTCCTGCCTTAGTGTTGCAGATCCTGGGTCTACAGGCTTTTGCCACCCTACCTGGCTTAGTTTGGGGACTTCAGAAGCAATGGTACTAGTTTTCTACTCTTACTCTCCTCTTAGAGAAAGCCTCCAATTTTCAAGTCTAGACTTTACCAGTTGAAAATGTCACAGTTAGGAAATATTTCTAGAAGTGGAGGCTTTTTGTTCCTGTTGCACTTATATTGACCATAGTGGTTTCAGAAGAATTGGGTGAATACATCAGTCAAGTCCTGTACCGTCTTTTTCCAGAGGATGTCAGACCATCTCATTGAACGTCAAGTATCGTGATAATACTCTTCTTACTTTTGCAGCGCATTGACAGACATACCCTAGCCTCTTCACCTCGAATATACACTGTAGTGATTTCATCACTGCCATTGCAGTACTTTAATAAGCATCCAATTCTGGATGATGTAATGGCTACATTAAAAGGAACAGGAACGATGAGGCTTGCATGAATTTACCACAGGGTCCAAAAAAATTTATTTATTCTGACCTTATATGCTCGCCTATGTCTCCCTGAACCTCAAATGTATGAGAATTTATTGTAAAGGTTCAATTTAGACACTAGAGATAAAATTTATGAATTACAGCCTGGTCCTGGTCCTGCAGAAATCCATAAAAATAAAAGTTTCCCCAAAGTTTATAGCCAATTTGAAGTAAAAGAGAGCAATCAGATCCTTCTTGAGAGTCAAAGAACTGCTGATCAGGGAAACCAGGTAGGATTCTGGTAACAAGCCTTGTCCCTGAGGAAGATCCGGATTGCCATTTCAAAGGTGGCTCCCGCGATGACGTCACTTCCGGTACCACCTGCGTGGTCCCCGGGAGCTGTAAACAAGGTGTGCAAGGGTTGGAAGAGCTGTCGGGATGCAGCAGCCAAGAGGAGCAGCAGGAGGCCGTGGCTGCGCTCTCTTTCCACTGCTGAGCATTCTATTTGTGCAGGGTGAGTGCGCCAGCTGGCTGGGCTCCACTTCCGGCTTGGGGGGGTCAGGGAAGATGGTCGCTCTTCCGGTTCCGGGTTGGGGGTCTCGGGAAACCCCCCGCTCGGTTTCTGGGAAGGGCGGGGGTGTGGGAGTATGTTCTTTTCTTTCCCGGCTGGCACCACCTACTGCGGAGAGTTGTTCCGCGGTTGGTCTCGGGGCTCTCGGAGCCTGAGCACCTTGTGTGACTTGACTCTGCCTTAGTGATGCCGCGATCCGAGGAGATCTCAGCGAGCTCAGGCTTGCGGACACTCACGGTTCTCGTATGAGATTATCAGTGATTGTCGGCCAGGGATCTGCGTTGCTGTTACACCCTAGTCAGAAATGGGCAATTCTGTTTGTCCCTGTTGTATTGAGAGACACAATCATGACTGTAGGGACTAGAAAAAGGAAAGGGGCGGGGAGGGAAGGAAAATCGTGATTTGGTAATTTCATTTCAGGGGCTATGAAATAAAACATTTTCGAGAAGTGTGGTTTTTCTCATAGCAGGCATATTGTTGAAGAAAAGGCAAACTGCCTTAGCACTTGATAAACATTCTAAAGTATAAGAAAAGTCACTGGAGTTCTTTTGAAACTCCAATCTTTAACTCTTGTCAGAAGTACAGTGTTGACATAATGACTATATTGTAAGATTTGGATAATTTTGCTTTCATGTTATCCCAAATTTCAATCCAGACTAATTAGCTTATTTTGATGTGCAAATATTTCCTGATTATTTTTTCTGTATGTTTGTGTTTTCCTAAGAAATAAAATGCTAGTATAGCTAGAATTAGAATGAATTGTATTATTTCTCAGCAAATAATGGGCATTTCTGAAAGGGGTCTTTAATATTGTATAAATATGAACACATTTAGGTGACGAGTCTCATCAGGTAAGGCGAGGAGGTTTTCATTTATCTGGTGACTAATCTTCACGCTGCCAGCACACTCCCTGATCCCTCCCAGCTACCCGTGTCATCTCAAGTATCCAGTTTTTCATCCAAGTTCTTTTTGCAATAGAGTCAGGCTACTGTCACTTTAGATAAACCTCTCTCTCTCTCTCTCTCTCTCTCTCTCTCTCTCTCTCTCTCCTCTCTC